AAACTGTCTCTTATTAATACTTATAAGAACTTTATAAAAACTTTAAATTAATTTTTATTTTAATATTATATCTCTTTATCTTATCTTGTGAATATCATAAAATGTCATTACTTGAATTTTTATCCAGAAAAATTTTATTTCAAAAAATTAAACATTAGTAAAATAATAAATTTAAACACTTAATCCAATAAGTATTTCAAGTTATATAATAAAGTTTAATAAAGTTTAATAAACATAAAATATAAACATATAATATATAACATATAAACATAACATATAAACATAAAATTTTTGCTTAGCATTACGAAAAATATTTTGATACTAAATATTTTCTTTATTGGTATTTTATAATATTGATTTTAATGCATGTATATATAGACAGAGTTTTAATTATTATATTTTAATTATTATCAAATAGTAAAAAATAATAATTAAAATATAATATATGGTAAAAATATACGCTGCAAATTAAAATGTAATCATTAAAATGTACAATGGAATTTTTGCTTTCGTTATATGAGTATCGGGAAAATAAAACCACAACCTACAAACGTTATGGTTAAAATAATTCTAATATTATATGTATTGTAAATTTTATTATTTCTACGCATAATACATACACATACATCTGTATATGTACATAACATGCATACATGTAAACGTTAATGTTACACAAAAATAAATATTTGTAAAATAAATAAACATAAAAAAAGAACTTATAATATCTTATATATATAATTTGTAGACAAATAACAAGAAAAATTATATGTATTGTTTTAAATTATATGTACTGTTTATATTCTCTGTAATTCAATAAAGGAAATTATTTCTTTTTTCATTAATCAATATTTTTTATTTTAACAACATGTCTAGGATTAATATTTATATTATCTAAAAAAATTATTTTTTTCAATAGATATTTTTGATTGAAAATATTGAAGAGTTCATTTTCAACGAAAAAGAAAAAATGTAGTAGAATAAAAAATTTTCTTCATAATATATATAAAAATTAATTTGTTTACTTTTTATTCTATGTAACGCGCAACTGAAAATTATTTAAAGAAAATCAATAATTACTTTGGGTATGTAAGGTGAATTGCGATGCGTTTAAAAAAAAGGAGACGTCCGTGCTGGAAGACTAAATTTTCCTCCTTCTAGCGGTGAGAGCGCCTCGGCAGTGTTATCCAATTATTCTAAGTTGTTAAGGCGAGTTAGGGCGCTTAAGGGACTAAATTAAGACATTCCGCGCGACAAATCTCCCAAGAATCTCAATTAACTTCTCCGGGGGCACCAGCACTTTAATTAACTGTTTAATTTCGTTTAATTTGCATTCGCAATTGCATAAGCTGAGCTAGGTTCCACAACTGCGTTGCATTTTCCTCTACGAAATAAACCAATGAGAAAAAAAACCTCTCGGAATATATTTGAATTATATAAAAAATGCAGAATATACGGGTATATATCCGTTACAGCGAGAATGCCATTTATATTTTTTTTTTACAAACTTTAGTTTGCAACTTCTTTTGGTCTCTTTTTGGAGACTTGTTTATTGAATAAATAAGTTTCTGTTTCACATTTTTTTATTAAAGTTGTTTATAAAATTTTGAATAATATTTTAAGAAGCATGTTATATTTTCGTTAATTTATCATGTAATTAGAAATCTTAAATTAATGCACATTTCAAATTTCTCATATACGTACTTTATTCTCATTTACATTTAAAATGTTAAAAGAGACTCAGAAAAGAAGAAAAAAGAAATCTTATTGTAATATTTTTAATATAAGTTAAGTAAATTTCTTATAAAATGCTACCGTATAATTAGAGAATTATATTATTACATTAGTTGCGTTACAACTTTATGTCGTCATTTTATCTCGTACAGAGTGGAGCAATCATTTCGAATATTGATAACGATTCTTGATAAGTGAATAAGTATTACAGAGAATACAAAAATTTCATTCTATATCGGTTTTACTGCAAGTAGACTAATTTGCATCGCGAGCCACTTATTTGCACGTGATTGCGCAAAAAAATCGTACATTTGCACGTGCAAATGTATGCAAACGTAGTCGGCGTCGCGAGTCTCTTATATGTTGAAGTACGTGGCATTTTTCTTGGAAACAAAACCCGCTGATAATTTTATAACTTGCTAATTTGTCAGACTTCTTTTCACTCGAGCACATTATCGCACATTTTTACGATACGCAAACCTTGTATCAACGCAAACGTGAAACAATGATAAAAGATATAAGGTCGCGCTTTCAAGTACTAATCTAGTATTGATCCTTACAAACCACACCCTTTATACATACCGTTTCCTTTGCTATCTCACTTCTTTTCTCCGCTCTTTTGTCGCAACTTTTTAAAGAATATTACTTCAATAAAAATGTGCAGGAATCCACGACGAATGTCAACGATCTAATTCTACATATAAATTAGATAGAAAACTGCATATATAGTAAGTCCAAATTTATCGAAAATACTTTTGATTATGATTTATGATGATTATTTTACAATCTCGAGTGGTATTCGATTATCCATTTTATCAATTGATCGTTCAAATATTAGATTTTGTAATAGACTCAGTCAGGAAAATTCCTAAATATCCCCGATGTGATCAAACATGTTTACATTATAAACGGATAGTCAAACGGGACGGGATTGCTTTCACAATCTCAAAAATGTTATATTTGAATTTATATTTTCAAAAATTCTAGATACACCAAGGGGCGGAGAGAGGGAGAATAAAAATTAAAACTCTTTTACATTCTATTATATAACATACGCATATATTTTCATTTAAAGGACATTTAAAGGCTTACAACAAATGTATGCCTTTTAATTATTTTATTCAAAATTGTAACAAATAAATCTAAGTAAATATAGTAGCTAAACAAAATTTTTATATTATTAAAATATTGAATCATATAAATATTGATTCATTGTCAATGCAATTAATACTTTTTAAAATTACATTTCAGAATTCATGAAAAATTATTTTCTGAAAAATTATTATTTATTTAAATAGATGCATAAAATTCTTCTAAGATCGAAGATTCTCTAAATTCAGATTTCACTCAATATGTATATTTACAATAACTTTAATTATATGTTCTA